GTTTTTTATACAAAAGATAAAAACTCATGCTGCCATCTATGCTGCAAGCAAATAACAGAGAAAAGTTATTGCACGAAATATTTTGTTCAATTTTATTGATACTTGATTCGAACTTGCATCCCCTTGGGTAAAGAGTTCAACACTATAACCACTGCGCCACGTCTGCTATTTTTATTATAAAAAATCATAACATCATCTTATTGATATATTTCAGAATCTACATTTGTTTCATACATGTGACTGTTTTCAAAATCATCTATATCATTTTTACTGTTAGAATCATCACCACAGTTTTCATTATTAATATTTGTATTAAAGATTAATAGTTCTCTTACTTCGGATGGCATCTTATGTTTCTTGTACTTTTGAATTTTTTGTTGTAATCTTGAACTTAAAAGAATTGGATCTGAAATCTCCATTGCACGTGTGAACATATCAAAGAGGTTGTGTTGGCGACTATCTTTTCGAGCATGATTGATTCTACCTAATCTAAAAATTTTATTTCTACTTTTTGAAGCTTCTTCAGATAACATGCCAACAGGGACAATTGAATTTGATATGATTTTTGAGCCATGTATCAAAAGTTTATGTAATGTGGGAGTCATAGGAAATTTTTTATATAATTTAACATACCAAGATGCTTTTGAGAAGCAATAATCATTAAATTTGACTGGGTTAATTGGAAATCGATAAGAAATACACAACAAAAGTATTCTTAATCTTTGAATGAGCTCCAAGTCGATGTCTAAAATTTCAGACAAGAGCTTAGGATCTTCGAATGCTCTTTTTGCAACGTTTCCTGTATTACTATTGCCACCGCTTGATTTTGGCATGTCTATATGAATGTTAAGTTTGTTTTTAAATCGGCTTTGAATATCAATCTTCCTTGCTTTTATTATTGCTTCGCTTTCTTTTCCATGCACTTGCCATTGATTTTCAGGCAAAACTAATTTATAAGAAAAGTGTAACGTTGCTTCGAAACAGCGTATATGCATGTGAAGAATACTTAAACCATATTGTAGAGCTACTGGGTTAACATTAAATACTCCTTTTGTAAAATTTACTAGCTTATTCATATCTTTTGAAGAACAACCACGCACAGTACATCGTTGAAACGAATATGTCTTTGTAATAAATGCTTGAATCTTTCCATCTATTAACGTCAAACACAGATTACATTCAACCAATAGTTTCTTTCCAGACTTTAAAATAATCACAACCTCTTCGAGTTCAGCAATTTCTTTATCATATTTCTCCTTTAATCGAATTACGTATTCTTTACTTTCCGTTGCAAATTCGATTTTCTGTGGACAGCAAAATCTAGTAGACTGAGGAGCTTGATTAGTCCATAAAATTTTTCCACAGCTTGTTTGCAATCTTAAAGGAACCATAGATGTCACAAATAATGAACTATCACTTAAATTTTCACTTAGATCTTGATTGAACTTTGCTTGTTGCGTGCTACCATCAAAGCCATAAGAAACTATAAATTTGCATTGAACAACATTAATTTCTGGAATTTCTTTCTCAATAAGTTCATGCTGCAATTTACTAATTCTTTCTAGAGTATGTTTTAATAAATGCTTCCATTCTACTTCAATGCAATTTTCTGTTTGCAATAATTCACTTGGACAACATTGAGATTTTTCAGCTGATACCAACTTATAAGGACAGAAAATATCGCCAGCTTGAGTTTTAGCTGCAAATCTTATTTGATTATACTGATCTTTGGACAAATTGGTATCAAAAAGAAACGATAACGCTTGTTCCAGTGGCATTCTCACAACTTCAGAATTAAATGAGATAATTCTTTTTTATCATTTTGTGCAGTGATGGTTGTAGCAATTCTGAGGTACATTTCAGTTTTGGGTTCGTTATTAGATACAACATTAGCAATAACTCAGCATTTGGATCTGGCAGACATCTTTAAAAACGGCATAATTGGTCTTCCTCTTTTCGTTTTTTCAGAACTGGACGGCTGAGGGTCACATTTAAGCTCTATTGGAAACTTGTATTGAGTTTGAAGCCAACTTCCATGGTATTTCATGAACCTTGCAGAAGAACAACCTTGCTTTCTCCAAAGTTCGTTGTATCGCTTTTTTATATTTTCTATTTTCTGCGTTATAACTTGTTTTTCTTCTTCCTTTAGGTCTCTTTAAAGTTTTTCTTCACAACACAACAAGCGTTTTTCAGTCGCTACATAATGTTTATCATTTTGTTTTATAATTGCAACAATTTCACTATACTTAATAATCATTTTTAAATGTATTTACACATTTCACAGTTTAATTTATCTTGTAAACTACTTTAAATCTCTGCGTAGAAGCAAATTAAAAAGACAAAAGTTAAAAATAATTTCTTCTTCATTCAAAACAGCATTTTCATCTTTTTTTAAAAGAAACGTTGCTCCAAATTAACTTAATAATAATGATTTAAATTATTATTTTATAAACAATTTTATATAATTATTTTTACTACTTTAAGTATAATAAAATATGTAAATTCGTTTTTATTAAATAAAATTTCTATTAGTAAAATTGTGCTAAAAGAAACCAGCAACTTTTTTGCTTTCACGTTTTTCGCTTTAACGACCTTGAAACTATTGAAGTTATATTTAGTTAACTTTACTGAATGGATAGAGTATATCACAGTAAATTAACTTATAACCTAAATCAAAACAACCAGTTAAGTTAAGAAAGTAACTTACAGTTACTCAAGTATTAATTTAACAATTATATTAATTAATTTAATATACTCGCAAAAGTTAGTCATAGACATGTTTCAATTTAGATCTTACATGTTGTTAACACATAATATAAGCTTTTAACTAATAATTATTTTAACAAAAATTGTCGAATATAATATAAAAAATGCGACACCATTTTTTAATATTTTCATTTTATTTATAGCGACATCTAGACTAAACATTTTCTATAAATACGCAATTGTTTTCAGGAATTTATTTAAAAGAACTTATTTAAAAAGAAATCAATTTAACATGAGAACTTTAGCCTTAAAATTCACTTATTCAAATAATTTTGTGATTGAAATTTGAAATTTTTGTGAAAAAAATTTAAAAATTTAAAAAAGTTTAATGAAACAAGGGATAAAAGAAGGAAGTTTTTTTTTCTTAAATCGTAAATTTTTTTAACGTTTTGATTTATATATTTTTTCTTGAAAATAGTTTTAAAAGTAGAAACATTCTATTGTAAACATCAAAGCAGTGATTGCAAATTGCAAGTTAAAATAAAAATTATAAAAATTTTAAATTAAATTTAATAAATTATTTTACTTCTGTTTGAAAAAAATTTTTATCTAAAAAAATAATTTAAGCATATTCTTATACTTAATATAATTCGATTTATTAAGCAAAATGTTTTGTTTCACTTTTTTTTGGAAAACAATTAGAATAAAAAAAAATTGAATGAAAACATCAGTTTAAAAATCATTTGATTGAAAAACTTAATTATACTTAAATTTTTAATCGTACGCTTGATCGGGAAACGATAATTTATAAAAGATGTGGTATCTAATGTTTTTGTGCTTTGATCTTACTCGTTTGGTCCATATATTATAAACTCGTATATGTCTATAGGCTCAAATATGAAGTTTTGTTTTTGTTTATTAACTAGATCAATTTTATTTACTTCCTTTTATTTTAAACCCGTTTTACTTTATAAATTGTATAAATCAATGCGAAACAGCATCACGAGTTTGTTTTACATTAACTCAAGCTCTTTATATTTTTAAAACAACTTTGCAGTTTGTTTTAATATTGTTTTAGAGCTTTTAACAATTAAATACTTTTCAAAATTAACACGTGTTTTAATGTCAGCACAACCGTATTAAATAGTTTTCTTTGACTAAGTAAAGTGGTTTAGATTTTGCAATGTTGCTTTTTCTCTTACTTTTTTACTTTTACTTTTTTAAGTATAATGATACTTATATATTTCTTTAAGTATACTTAAGTAAAATATATACTTGAAGGAATATCTTAATAGTATTAAAAACGTTATTGCTTATTACAACTGCAACTTAAACTTTAAGTTATAACTTAAGTTGTAAATAATAACAGTAACTTACGCTATTTTTATACTCTGCTGAACAAGACAATTATACAATTATAAGATTATATTTAAATATGATAGATAATATATTAAAAGTAGAACAATTATGTACTAAAGTTACAATTATATACTAACGCAACTTCCCCCCCCCCCCTTACCATAAAGAAGAGCAATGTTTAAGGAAGGGGGGGGGGGGAGTTGATGAAATTTTTTTTTTTTTTTTTTTTTTCGCAATTAGATTTTTTTGCATTAATTCGAGCCCTGTATGTATATATATATATATATATATATATATATATATATATAAAATACATATATATATATAACAGTTATATATACATATGTTATATATATATATATATATATATATACATATATATATATATATAACAGTTATATATGTATGTTATATATATATATATACATATATATATATATATATATATATATATATATATATATATATATATATATATATATATATATATATATATATATATATATATATATATATATATATATATATATATATGTATATATAACAGTCGGCATTCTACAATGCCAACTTAACTGGCGACGTTAAAGTGTTTGAGTTGGCAAAAAAATTGCTAACCTTGTTTCTATGTTACATATATATATATATATATATATATATATATATATATATATATATATATATATATATATATATATATATATATATATATATATATATATATATATATATATATATATATATATATATATATATATATATATATATATATGTCAGTGTGACATCAGAGATGTTTACTAAATATGCATTCATAGTTAAAAAATAAGGTAAGCAATAAATTTGCCAACATTAAACTATTTTGGTGTGTTCAAAATTTTTAACAACAAAGTTTGCACGATAACAACATATAAAATTTTAATTAGTATAAAGAAACTTACTGTTAGAACCATCAGAATACGATTCAAACACAGGTAAGCGAACACCTTAAATAAAAATAAATATCTTAAAATAATCATATTATAAAGCAAACTTATCTATTTTTATTTGAAATTAAATTAAAAAAAAAGTACCAGCAACATTATCACTTCTACTTTTAACTTTAACCCAAGCTTTATCAACATTTTCTAGTACAACAACACTAAAAACAAATTTATAAATAAGTGAAACCATTTTTAGAATTACTTTATTTGTATGAAAATAATTTTATAAACATAAAATAATGAAAATATTTCATCAATATATTTCCCATTATTTAGTAGATAAGAAAACAAAATATTGTGATGTTTTAATGGAAATTGTAACATCACAAAATGTCAAAAATTCACAATAGCTCATTTTTCGTAAAATTAGCGAAAGCCAACTTTTTTACGGAGAAGTACAGTTTCAATGAGGATTTTAGTTGTTTGATTTAAACTATTATAGTTACACCCATAAACTATTTAATGTTGTGTTTATGGTTGCTCCTCAAATTATAAATCAAAAATAAAAGATGTTTATGTCTTCATGTATAAATTTCCCTTTAAATCCAAGGATCGTGAGTTATGGATTAAAAACTTACTTAAGCAAACTTTGTGTTAACAGATTGTAAGCAAATTTGTGCTCAGCACTGGCCTAAAGATGCAAAATTAAAAAAAGTCAAAGGTGGTAGTCTAGTTCCAATGCATCCTCTATTAATCTTTAAAGGTCAGTATCTTCTATTCCAATAGTGTCTAAAAAGTGAGTCATTGGGTTAAAATGCTTTGAAAAAAATAGTTTATCTGATGAGTTTAAAAGCTATAAAAAAAAGAATGCATCAATTTTAAAAAATTTGAAATCAATGATAAATAACTATATCTTTAATATCATTTGAACATTGTGGACCAGTACCTAAGTTTTCAATATATCAGGCTTGGATAGGAATGACTTATAGGTCAGAAATACAATCAATTTTTGAACCCAGAGTCATAAGGTATAATGGCGGCAAGGACTCTGGGCCTCCAGGACTCCGGGCTTAAAAACAGTTCTAAGTCATTTAATACCATAACTTCTTTTCTTATAGATCATTAATCAACCAACATGTTTAGAGCTTCTGGACACTAGAGACAATAAAAAAAATAGTTATAAAGCCAGAGTCCTTTTGAAACTCGGCTTCCCTTCTATTTTTACAAAGAATTGTTTAAAAACTTTTCTTTTTAACTTGACTAACTAATCAGAGCAAGAAATGATTAAAAACCACTATTTTAATAGACACATTTTTTTAGAAGACATTTCAGATGCATTGCATTTTTATTCAAAAATCAGTATATTTTTATCTCCAAGAGAAACTTGTTTTGCCAAGTGTATGAGAGCTACAAAATGACAAACAAAATGAATAAAATTTAATATTTAAAAATGATATTTAAGGAGCTTTAGGAATTTAAAAAAATATTGCTTTATCTTGGCTGATGAGATGTATATAAAACCTGGGCTACAGTACTCTGATGGGAAGTTATTTTTAACTAATCAACTAGAAACCCAGGATTTTTGTTTTTAATATTTATTTAAACTATTGTCTAAAAAGCTTAAATAATTGTAGAAATAATTGTGGAATTAGAATAAATAATTTAAAAAAAAATATTTTTGTTTAAACTATTAATTTTGTTATAGTGAAACAGAAAATGCCCAAGAAAAAGCAAAAACAGTTTTAGCACTAATGCTCCTTTGTCTTTTTTGTAGTCCATGACTTGTTATGTTTTTCCAGTTTGTTAAGTTACAACATATTTTCAAACAAGCATGATAGAAGAATTAAATCAACAAATCATAATTGCAGGTGAAAAGCCTCTTGGGTTAATAATGGATAACTGTCAAGTAAATCAAAAAACACTTCAATATTTTAATGCAAAAAATGTTCCAGCATATCTTTTAAATGACATTGTGCATGTTTTAAAATGTATTTGAAATAATTGAATCAATAAAAATTTCAATATGTAAAATATAAATTGCTAAATGATAACGATACTGTGCAACTTGCAGAATGAAATAATTGAATTGTTATTATTTCAATATTTATAATAAGTTATTTATAATAAGTTATCACAAAAAGCTTTGTCATTTTTTGAGATGAAATAGTTGCAGCATTATGTGTTAAATTTCCTAAAGCTGAAAATACAGCACTTTTCATTGAAGCAGTTGTCAAGTGGTGGCTTATTATCAACAGTAAAGCAAAAGGTCTAGATATAAGATTAAATGATATTTTCAAGAAAGCCTATTATTTCAGTCAATGATTGGTAAATAGATTTCTTAAAGAACTACATTTCTTATTTTTGCTGAATATTTGTAATGCGTGAATTCAAAATTAAGAGAGAAAAAGTTAACAATGGATATTGATAGTGCCTTGCGAGAAACTTCTAAAATTAGCAATCTGTGCAAAGCATTTGTTGAATTGCAGTGTATCTTATATATTGTTAAAACATATGCAATCAGATGAACCAAAAAAAACAGTTTAGGAAATATTGGCAAGAGTCAGGTGGCATATATTTGATAACTGTGCAAAATGTTATTCAAATATTTTAAATTTATAAAACTAGAGTTGCGAGACAAAGAAGCAGATTTGACTTCTTCCTGCTCACCACCAATGATAAGTGTGAACTTGATGTGAAATTATATGTCAATATGTGAAAATTGTGAGGATCAGTTGCCAAACAAGGGCTTTTATATATATTACAGGTTTTTATTGCTTTCAAACTTCCAGAATTACATCTAATTTTAGAGGAAACAGACACCTTCAATATGTTTTAAAAATATTGAGCTTTGATTAGTGCTTTGAACAGAGGAAGACTAAGAGAACCTACAATTTAGTTTACTTTGTTACTAATTGTTTTTTTATACATGAAGTGACACTGGTGGATAAAGTTTTACCTTTGCTGCCCAAGAGTAGATTAATTGACATTTTTATATGATATATATGATATATATATATATATATATATATATATATATATATATATATATATATATATATATATATATATATATATATATATATATACATACATACATACATACAGGCTTGGTCAGGAAAGCGTGCAATTTCACGGCTTTTTATGACCATGCAAATAATATTTTGTTTTGACGATTTGACTACAGTTTTATTTAAACATTTTAATAAAGTGCTAAAAACATAACTTATAAAGAAACTAAAAAAAAAAACTTATTTTAAAAAAAGCAAAAAAATCTTCTTAAAAAAATAATGAAAAATAAAATAAAAATAGCTTAGTAATAAATAATTTAAACAAAAATAAAAACAAAACTTAACTAAAATAAATAATAAAAAATAAGATAATTACATTTGAAATAAATTACTTGGAATATTTACTAATGTAAAACTAGTAGTGTACTGTCTGCTTTGTTATCGCACCATATAAAATTATATTACTAGTAAAAAAATAATAATAATAAAAAAATAATAATAATATAAATCGACAAAAAATGGAAATAAACACTGTTTTTATAAAAAACTTCATTGCGCATTAGTGGTATTTAAAAAAAAAAAAAGATTTAACTAAACAAGGAAACTTTTTTCAATGATGCTTTTCTTTTTTTGTGGGGGAGGGGAGGGGAACGCAATTCACAAAAAAGATGATTGACTTGCGAACAAAAAAAAAATGTTTTTTCTTTATTATATAGACATAGTAAAAACCTTTTAAACAAAGTAACAACTTGCAACAATTTTTTAAATAAATAAGCACATTTAAAAGATAACAACAAAAAAAAACTTTACAATTCTTTGTAGTAGATATAAACAAAAAAAAAAAATTAACTCTTTTCTTTTTTCAGAAATCCAATATCAGAAAGCAAATGAGGAAAAGTGAAGATAAAAACAAAATATAATGAACAAAACTATTCCTTTAATTGATATTTTAATTTAATTTGTTAATAATTTAATTTTTTATTTATTTAAAGACTAATGAAAAAAAATCATTACAATTATAAAAATAAAATTACATTTATATATATATTTTTTAACTTGCATTCATGCAAAAAAAATTTGTTATATTTCGAGTATATTAATTTTAATCGATAATTTTTTAATTTAAAGACGAAAGAAAATTACATTAATACTTTAACGTGAAAAAATCATCAGCAGTGAATTGTTACTTTATTTAAAAGCAATTTAATAATAAAAAAACATTAGAAAGTTTAATTCAAACGGCTGTCTTTAATTCAAAAGTTTGTCCTTTTTTTCTTCTCAACAAAATCTTTTCGAGTGTATTAACTTTAATGATTCTTAAAAAAAGTTTATTAAAGAGACAATCGTTGTTTAAGTCGTTGTTGTTAAAGTTGTCGCTTATAAAATATAAATAATTAAAAAATAAATAAGATTATTTATAAAAAAATCTTATGTTATTTTATTTAGTAATAATATAATCTTATATATATTTAAACAATATAAATGAAAATTTATAAAACTTTAAATTAAAACGTTAACAGTAACTGTTACTTTATTTAAAAGCATTTCGCTAATACAAAAACATTAGTAAAGATAAAAGTTTCAGAGTTATTTATTTTTGACGTAATTAAAATTAATTTTTTTCAGCGCATTTTTTAAAACCGTGGCCAAATCGTCAAAATAAAGTATAATGTGCATGGTCATATAATGGCATGCAATCACACGCCTTCCTGACCAAGCCTGTATATATATACATACATACATGCATACATATACATATGTATATATATATTTATATTTATATATATATATATATATATATATATATATATATATATATATATATATATATATATATATATATATATATATATATATATATAAAATCTCATGCAAGATGAAAGAAGTCATGAGTAAAAGCAGTATGAGTAATCAAAACATGAAAAGTTGAAAATTTATAAAAGAATTAATATTAGAGTAAATATAAGTAAAAGTATGCAACTTGGCAAAATGAAGAGCCACACATGGGAGAGACCCTCAAGCTTGGCAGCTAGAGCCATGTTTAGCTGAAACAACATTTACAATGTAATTTTAAACCTTTTGATTTTAAGAACCCAAATATGACAATGGCTCTCCATACAAATAGGAATAAGATAGGAAGATAGAGAATGGAATATGGAGTAAGAGAATAGCAAGCACTATAAAAAGAAGCTTTCACTTAAGTATCTTCTAAATGGTAAATTATACTTAAAATGGAGTTCATGATCTGCTCTCAACAATTAAAAAGTGATAGCTTTTTGTCAAGATTGGAGTGTTGCGTTGTCAGCAAATACAGCCATTTTACATCTATGATTGTAAGGAAGATTACTAATATAAATGAGAAGCAATACAGAACCAAGGATGGAACCCTATAGAACCCTAGAGGCTACTCAAAATGAAGAAGATTCATGACCTCCAAAAACAACTTTAATACTGCAGCTAGAAAATTCATTTATTTGCCAAAACAAGTCACTCGCTGTCATAGAAGATTTAGAACTGCCTGTCTTAGAAGTAAAGTGTCATCAAATATGCATCAAATAGAACCACATTAGGAAAAAATTAGAAAGATCTTTATGGAATATTGATGAAGAACATCACAGAATCAAATATGGAATGCTGTGGTAATCCAGAAATAATTAAATAATGAAGAGTTTTGTCCATATAGGAAATATTCAATACTGAAAGTTTTTGATGTCAAAAAAAAAATTAAATAAAATTAAATAAAACACAATATAATAATAAGGCTGATAAATAAAAAAACTGTAATGGTAATACTTTGTGGAAAATATTGAAAAAGTCATTGAAAAAATTCGAACACCTAAAATCTCCAGCAGTAAAGTATGCTTCTGCTAATGAAAATGAAGCTGCTTTCATTGCATCCCCCATCATAACTTTGGTCTGTAAAAAAAAACAAGAAACTAAAAAATTAATAAAATATAGAGCCTAATAAATAATAATATATTAACTAATCAACTAAATAAATATGCCCATATTGCTTTATTCAATTATGGTTATTTTAATTTTATAGTTTAATAGAATATATATATATATATATATATATATATATATATATATATATATATATATATATATATATATATATATATATATATATATATATATATATATATATATATATATATATATATAATATATATTTAAAATGTATTCTAAAAAAAGAGTGCTCGATGTTCTTAAAAGAACAGAGCAATTACAAATTAGTAGAAAATCACTTAGCAAAATTTTTTCTCATTTAACACTGTGTTTCATCAATAAAGACTCATCAGAAATAAATGATCAAATTAATAAAACTTCAATTTATACCAAAAATTAAATTACAGGAAGTCATATGTCTTAACTACTGCAATTTTTCACACGTTTAAGTAATTTGCTGACACTATTGTAAAAAAAATTCTTTAGAAATGATTTCTTAAGCTTTTTTAAAAAATAATATATTTTTTTCAAAGGGGAGTTAATGTAACTATTATTTGAGCTTGATATTTTTATAGTTTTTTAGGAGAAACTTATTTTCGTGCCTGCATTTAGAAATCAATTCCGATTTTTTGTTTAATAAACATTCTTGGTTTGTATATGTAATTATTTCAAATTTTTCTTGTAGACATAGTATGCATTTTTTAGAAATATTGTTATATGCAGGCACTTTTTTAAGGATGGACTAATTCAGTGTAAAATCATCAATATTTTTATCTTTTAATTCTCATATATATTTTGACAGCATGGTGTCTTTTGAATACTTTTTATTTTTAAAAGATTGCTTATGATTGGCAAAACGTTTTTTCCATTCAGCTTCTGTTATGCCAATATATTGTTTATCAGGTACATTCTTAGAGGAGACAACACATTTATATACCACATTTTTTGATAAGCAACTTCCACTCATTGGACAATTGTTTTTTTGTTTACAATTACAATTTTCTGTAGTTTTTTCATTTTGGATTTCTTTTTTGTTTAACAAAGCATTGTTGTGACCTTTTATAATTTTTTCCATATTTTTTGTGCAACTGTAGCTAACTTTAATAGTATTTCGATTAAAAATTTTATGTAATTTATTAGGGGGCGGGAAATGCTTATCGATCAATTTTAAAAACAATTTTCCTATGTTTGTGGAAACATTTTTGCTATATGGGGGGGTTGAACCAAATTACATTTCTAGTTCTATTTCGCTTTTTTATATTCTTTTTTTCAGGGTCAAATTTTAATTCAAAGTTTTCAAAACCACTTTTTTTAAGGGCATCTTCAAATATCTGTTTGGAGGAATTGAATACATTTTCATTAGAGGAGTTTTGGTTAAGCCTGTTATTAATTGAAATCCGGATTTGTTTTGGAATTTAGGGTGGATGATTTGAGTTAATATTAATATACAATAATTCATCGTTTGGTCTTTTGAAAGGCTTATATGTATTTTGCGAGAGGTTAAATGTGACATCAAGAAAGTTCACAATTTTTAAATTTATGTTTATTTCAATTTGAA